TTTTTTTTTTTTTTTTTGTCTTTGGATGTTCAGTAGTTCTAGCCCTGTTTTGAAGAGATTATCCTTCCCCCAACGAATTGGTTTTGCATCTCTGTCTAAAATCATTTTGCCATATTGGTGTGTGTCTGTTTCTTGGTTCTCTATTTTGTTATGTTAGCCTAATGTTTATCACTCGGCCAAAGTCACACGATTTTAATAACTCTGTATAAGTCTTAAAATGGGGTAAAATGATTTTCTTCTATTTTATTCATTTTTGAAATTGTTTTCTAATTCCTATGTCTTTCATATAATTTTAGAATATTTTTGTTTGTCTACAAAAAACATCTTGCTAGGATTTTGTTAGAAATTGCGTTGAATTTGCCTATCAATCTATTTTTGGATAATTGGCATCTTTCCTGTGTTGAATCTTTCAATTCCATGATCACAGTGTATTTCTCTGTTTCATTTGTTTAGCTTTCCTTTGATTCCTTTCCTTTCATCAGTGTTTTTCATAGCTGTCAGCATACAAGACCTGTTTGTGGGTTTTCAGATTTATATCTAAGTATTTTGGTTTTCATAATTACTGCTAATAGTACTGTGGTTTTAAAAAAAATTAGGTGTCCATTGTTCATTACTAACATATAGAAATGGAATAGTTTTTTTTTTCCATGTTTTTTTTCTTACATTTTGCTGCCTGGCTAAACTAACTTACTAGTTTCGGTAATTCCTCTGTATTTCCCTGTAGACAATCATTTTATCTTTGAGTGGGATATATTAGAGTTCTTCAGAGGAACAAAGAAAAGATGGAGAGAGAGAAAGAGGAAGGGAGGAAGGGAAAGAGAGACAGGGGAGAGATAGAAAGACAGACCCCTGTTAGGGGAATTGGCTCATGCAATTAGGAAGACTGGAATGTCCCAGGATACGCTCTCTGTAAGGTGAGACCCAAGGAAGCTGGTGGTGGATTTCAGTTTAAGTCTAAAATCCTCAATCAGAGAAGCCAAGGGTTTAATTCTCAGTCCAAGGCCAAAGCCCTGAGAACCCAGAGGGTTGCTGGGTGTAAGTCCTGGAATCCAAAGGCTGAAGAACCTGGAGTTCTGATGTCCAAGGACAGAAGAAAAACAATGTCCCAGCTCCAGGAGTGAGAATTTGCATTTTCTCTGCTCTTTTGTTCTACCACGGCCCCCAACTAATTGGATGGTGGCTTCCCACATTGAGTTCCAATTTTTCCCACTCAATACACTGACACACACACCAGTCTCCTCAGGAAACACACTCACACAAATACCCATAAGTAATGCTTTACCACCTATCTAGGTATCCCTTAATCCAAACAAGTCAATACTTAACCGTCACATAAGGCAATTACATCATTCTTTCTAAACTGTGTGTGTGTGTGTGTGTGTGTGTGTGTGTGTGTGTGTGTGTGTGTGTGTTTTCTTGCTTTGTGGCATTGGGTAGAACTTCCAATGATAAGAGTGGTGTGACTATCTTTGCCATATTCCTGGTCAAAAACATTCAGACTTTCACCATTAAGTATGATGTTAGTCGTAGGCTTTTAGTAGATGCTCTTTATCATGTTCCTCTGTATTTCTATTTTTCTTAGCGGTTTT